GTCCCATAGGAATGAATGGCAAAGCTAGAGTGGGAGCTGGCAAAAGCTGAAAAATCAGGACATTATTTCTAAACTGCCACCACTCCCTTATTTTCAGGCCCACCTACACAAATCTTATATCAAAACGTTCAGCTATCCCTCCTGCCACTAAACATGTCAACGGCTAAGCCATAGTCCTGATAGTTTTCACAATATGACCATTTGTTTGCAACTAACGCCGTCCATTGACATTCATTGAAACTCCACTCTAGCCAGCTCAAACTTGAAGGGCAATTTCTAAACTGCGACTGTGCCTTCATTTTTAATACCTCAAAGACATACTATGCATCACAATGTAGGTCTGGGTCTTGTGATTCTCACAATATAAAGCTCTTCGCTGTAGGAGTTATAGTTTTTAAAATACGACCGTTTGAAGATGGCAACCACCAAAATACTCTGACCTGTGTCAAGCTGCAGCAGCAAGTGATGTCATAGACAGGGCCTTTTGAACACCTGCTAATGTTTTTATAAATGTATGGTTTAATGTAACTGTGCAACAACGTTTCAATTAAATGTGCTATGTAAATGATAATAGTTAATCCGCCCACTCCAGTTGTAGACTACAGGTGGAGGCAAGAACACTTCACACAATTTCCCCTGAAATTGTAACTTTTCTAGTTATTAAGTGTTCTTGTTATTATTCTTATTATTATAGCAAAATTTGCCACCCTAACTCCTCCCACAGTTTTTACACTACATAGACAAAAATTTACCAAAACGTGCAGATTGTTCCCGATCGGATTGCTATTACTTTGTGGAACGTTTCGCCGAATGGTTCACAGAATATCGTCGTTCTTGTGGCAAAATTTGTCCCATAGGAATGAATGGCAAAGCTAGAGTGGGAGCTGGCAAAAGCTGAAAAATCAGGACATTATTTCTAAACTGCCACCACTCCCTTATTTTCAGGCCCACCTACACAAATCTTATATCAAAACGTTCAGCTATCCCTCCTGCCACTAAACATGTCAACGGCTAAGCCATAGTCCTGATAGTTTTCACAATATAATCATTTGTTTGCAACTAACGCCGTCCATTGACATTCATTGAAACTTCACTCTACAAAGCTCAAATTTGAAGTGTAATTTCTAAACTGCGACTGTGCCTTCATTTTTAATACTTCAGAGACATACTATGTATCAAAATGTAGGTCTGGGTCTTGTGATTCTCACAATATAAAGTTCTTCGCTGTAGGATTTATAGTTTTTAAAATACGACCGTTTGAAGATGGCAACCGCCAAAATACTCTGACCTGTGTCAAGCTGCAGCAGCAAGTGATGTCATAGACAGGGCCTTTTGAACACCTGCTAATGTTTTTATAAATGTATGGTTTAATGTAACTGTGCAACAACGTTTCAATTAAATGTGCTATGTAAATGATAATAGTTAATCCGCCCACTCCAGTTGTAGACTACAGGTGGAGGCAAGAACACTTCACACAATTTCCCCTGAAATTGTAACTTTTCTAGTTCTTATTCTTATTCTAGTCAAATTTACCACCCTAACTCCTCCCACAGTTTTTATACTACATAGACAGTAATACACCGAAACGTGTGGATTGTTCCCGATTGGTGTGCTATTACTTTGTGGAACGTTTCGCCGAATGGTTCACGGAATATCGTCGTTCTTGTGGTGAAATTGGTCCCATAGGAATGAATGGCAAAATGTTCAAAACTAGAGTGGCAGCTGGCAAAAGCTGAAAAATCAGGACATGATTTTTTAAACTGCCACCACTCCCTTATTTTCAAGCCCACCTACACAAATCTTATATCAAAACGTTCAGCTATCCCTGCTGCCACTAAACATGTCAACGGCTAAGCCATAGTCCTGATAGTTTTCACAATATGACCATTTGTTTGCAACTAACGCCGTCCATTGACATTCATTGAAACTCCACTCTAGCCAGCTCAAACTTGAAGGGCAATTTCTAAACTGCGACTGTGCCTTCATTTTTAATACCTCAAAGACATACTATGCATCACAATGTAGGTCTGGGTCTTGTGATTCTCACAATATAAAGCTCTTCGCTGTAGGATGTATAGTTTTTAAAATACGACCGTTTGAAGATGGCAACTGCCAAAATACTCTGACCTGTGCCAGGCTGGAGCAGCAAGTGATGCTAATGTTTTTTATAAATGTATGTTTTAATGTAACTGTGAAGCACTTTGGGCAACAACGTTGCAATTAAATGTGCTATATAAATGATAACAGTTACTCCGCCCACTCCAGTTGTAGACTACTGGTGGAGGCAAGAACACTTCACACAATTCCCCCAGAAATTTTAGCTTTTCTATTTATTAACTACAATTGTTGAAGTGTATGCCCATTACAGCAAAGCAACTGTGATTATGTTACTATGAGATAATTCTCCATTTTCTTTAATATGCTATAAACGTGTGGATATTTTTTAACATTGTACAGTGTATTCACGAAAATGTGCTTTGCCGATTGTTGTCTAGGGAATTTTATAATATTGGCCATACTAAAACCCTGCTATTTTGGCTTAAAATTGGCAATGCCCTTGTCAGGTCTCAGGATTAATGGTTTGGTGAATAACTCTGTATGTGTTTTTAATAAATTGACTGTTTATTCAATAAATAGAAAAGCGTGTTGGACTACAAACAAACTGCAAAACCAAGGGGGAGGTTTTTTTTGTTTTTTTTAATTAAGGGGGGTGTGCAAGTTTTTTATTAAGGGGGTGTGCAAGTTTTTTTATTAAGGGGGAGTGCAGGTTTTTTTTATTAAGGGGGTGTGCAGTTTTTTTTATTAAGGGGGTGAGCTGGTTTTTTTATTAAGGCGGAGTGCATTTTTTTTTTATTAAGGGGGTGTGCAGGTTTTTTTATTAAGGGGGAGTGCAGGTTTTTTTTTATTAAGAGGGGGTGTGCAGGTTTTTTTATTAAGGCGGAGTGCAGTTTTTTTTATTAAGGTGGTGTGCAGGTGTTTTTTTATTAAGGGGGTGTGCAGGTTTTTTTAATAAGGGGGAGTGCAGGTTTTTTTTTTATTAAGAGGGGGTGTGCAGGTTTTTTATTTATTAAGGGGTGTGCAGGTTTTTTATTAAGGTGGGTGTGCAGGTGTTTTTTTATTAAGGAGGTGTGCAGGTTTTTTTATTAAGAGGTGTGCAGGTTTTTTCTATTAAGGAGGTGTGCAGATTTTTTTTAAATTAAGTGGGGTGTGCAGGTGTTTTTATTAAGGGGGGTGTGCAGGGTTTTTTCTATTAAGGAGGTATGCAGGTTTTTTTTTTTAATTAAGTGGGGTGTGCAGGTTTTTTTTATTAAGGGGGTGTGCAGGTTTTTTTTATTAAGGAGGTATGCAGGTTTTTTTTTAATTAAGTGGGTGTGTGCAGGTTTTTAATTAAGTGGGGTGTGCAGGTTTTTAATTAAGGGGGGTGTGCATGTTTTTTTTTTTAATTAAGGGGGGGTGTGCAGGTTTTCTTTTTTAATTAAGAGGGGGGTGTGAGGGGGTTTTATGTGTAGGGTGGGTGTATGAATTTGATGTGTAGGGGCTGTATGAACTTCGTGAAATGGGTGCAGGGATTTTTATGTGTAGGGGGTGTATGAACTTTATGTGATGGGGTGCAGGGTTTTTATATGAAGGGGGGTATGAATTTGATGTGTAGGATGGATGCAGGGTTTGTATGTGTGCAGGGTTTGTATGTGTGGGGGGTGCACAATTTTTATGTGCAATAAATATTCTTGGAAACAATTTGTGGGTGTTTTTTTTACATTTGTAAGCGAGGGAGGTGGGGGGTGCCAAGTACAGGGTCCGACCCGGATGCCAAAGGCACTAGGTACGCCCCTGAGTCTCACATCTCAATTCTCTACCATTTAGGCATTAAATCACTTTTTATTCTGTTTATGCGCCCCAAGCTCCACGTACCTTGGCTGTGACTCACTTAAACTCTTTGAAATTGCTTTCATTTAGACCTTTTTATCTACTGCTTTGTTAAATAAACTTTAATCACACACAGGAGGCTACTGCAGACTATTAACAGAGCAAAGATCAGAAATTGTAAATCTAATATAAAATTTAAAAAAATGAAACACACTTTGCAATAAAGGAAGTTTAAAAAATAGATTTCTCTATACGGGAAGTGCAGAGGAAGGCTGTGTAAGTCACTGCCAGGGGAGGAG